AGTAGTAGTAGTAGTAGTAGTAGTAGTAGTAGTAGTAGTAGTAGTAGTAGTAGTAGTAGTAGTAGTAGTAGTAGTAGTAGTAGTAGTAGTAGTAGTAGTAGTAGTAGTAGTTAGTAGTAGTAGTAGTAGTAGTAGTAGTAGTAGTAGTAGTAGTAGTAGTAGTAGTAGTAGTAGTAGTAGTGGCGGTAGCAGTAGCAGTAGCAGTAGCAGTCGCAGTCGTAGCAGTAGTAGCAGTAGCAGTAGCAGCAGCAGCAGCAGCAGCAGCAGCAGCAGCAGCAGCAGCAGCAGCAGCAGCAGTAGGGTAGCAGTAGCAGTAGCAGTAGCAGTAGCAGTAGCAGTAGCAGTAGCAGTAGCAGTAGCAGTAGCAGTAGCAGCAGTAGCAGTAGAACAGGCAGTAGCAATAGCAGTAGCAGTAGCAGTAGCAGTAAACATTGTAGCGATGATGGTGATGGTCATCTTTTTCCCTGGTGCTCACCGTCTCGCCTTTCGGCTCGTTGCCGTCGTCGTCGTTTTCGTCGTCGTCGTCGCCATCGTCGTCGTCGTCTTCGTCGTCGGTTTCGTCGCCGTGTTGCCGCTCTTCATCCTGCTGCTGTTCGCATTTCCCTCCTCGTCCTCGTTCGCCCCCTCCTGCTATTGCTCCTCTTCCCCCGCTCGTCCTCGTCCCCATCGTCGCCGTCCGCTTCTTTCGTCTCTCGCCTCGTGTTTCTCTCTTCTCCTTCTCGGGGAGAAACCGGGCAGCGCCTGAGCGCGGGCGGGCGTGGACCCTGGCCCTGCTGCGGCCCCCGCGCGGCCCAAGGGGCCTCCCGAGGCCATGGCTGGAATGACCATGCCGTCCGACCAGTCGGAGAGCTTCGAGCACGAGAGCCAGATGCAGTTCTCTTGGGGGCCGGTGCAGCACCAGCACCCCCAGGCGGGGCGGCCCCGCCCAGCTGGCGGCGCGCACGCGGGGGGCTGGGCGAGGATGGGCGGCCCTTCGAGGAGGCACCAGTCGCCGTGAGACTCCCGCCTTGGCCGCCGCCGCTGCCGCTCTCGGCCGCCGCCGCCGCTCTGGCTGCCGTCGCTGCCGCCGCCGCCGCTGCCTCGTCCGCCGTCGCCGCTGCTGCCGCGGTTGCTTCCGCAACCTCCCCCGCTGCCAGCGCCGCCTCCGCAGGCTGGTCCTCCTCCCCTTCCTCACCCTTCCTCTCCCTCCCCCTGCTTCTTCCCCCCTTCCCTCGCATCTCCTTTCCTCTCCCCAGTGCTCACCTATCCGCTCCTTCCCTCGCGCCTTTTCTCTCCTTTCTCCTTTCTCCTCTCCTACCTCCTCCTCTCCTCTCCTCTCCCCTCTCGTTTCTGGAGGCTTCGGACGTCGCACGCGGACCGTGGCGCACTCGGTGCAAGTGGGCACGCTCGAGTGAGCAGGTCTCCGTGCCGAAGGGCATCCGTCGCTGACCTGCTCCTCCCGCTCGTTCAGTTCATTCCTCTCCTTCTCCTGCTGCTCCCACTCCGCTCCTCCCGCCCTCCCCTGAGCTCGGGCGAAGAGAACTATGCACATGCACCGATCCTGGCAAGGCCCATCCTTGACCCAGGATCGGTGCATATGCCTTCCTGGCCAAGGTAGGAGGGCGTATGCACCGATCCTGGGCTCAGGATCGGCCTGGCCAGAATCGGTGCATGTGCATAGTTCTTTTTCCTCTATGAGCCCCGCCCCAGGTGATGTTCTGCGCGAGCCCCAAGACGGCGGGCAAGGCGCAGACGGCGGGCCTGGTCCCCGTGCAGTTTCCGGCGAGCCTCCCGAGGACGAGGACGAGGAGGGCGGGGCGGACAGGACGAGGACGAGGAGGACGAGGATGAGGACGAGGACGAGGACGAGGACGAGGACGAGGACGAGGAGGGCGAGGATGAGGATGCGCAGGTGGAGGAGCACGGGAGAGATGCCAGGGTGGCGAGGGGGCGAGCTGCGCGTGCACCAGTCACGAAGGCGGCTTTCTTCTTGGCCCAGCGCCTCTGCAGCGCGTTTCGGGGCGTCGGCCCAGCGTTCCACCCGCTGGCTGGATGCACGGGGCTGCGGGGCTGCGGCTGCAAGGCTGGCCCAGCTTTCGCCAGAGATGTCGTCTGCAGGCTGGCCCTGGTCCCTCAGACTTTCTCTCGTTCTGGATCATGCAGCCCGCATGCGTCCCCCCACCCAGTACAGCGTTTCGTGGCCCCATAGGGAGCTTCACCGAGGGCACCAGTGGCAAAGTCTGCATGCGTCTCCCCCACCCAGTGCAGCGTTTCGTGGCCCCACAGGGAGCTCCACCGAAGGCCCCAATGGCAAAATCCACATGAGTTTCCCCCTCCCAGTGCAGCGTTTCTCGGTACATAGGGAGCTCCACCGGTGGCAAAGTTCGCATGCGTCTGCCCCCACCCGGTACAGCGTGTCGTTACCTCATATTTTCGCAGGACGAACGGTTTTTCTCTTGAGGCAAAAATGGCGATGGTAAGTTTGACAGATAACAGTGGTGCCGCCGAACGGACGGCGTGCGGACAGGCTGCGTGCAGCTCGTCCAGGAGGACAGAGATACATCCATGCTAAGTGGGGCCCTCGCGCGCGGAACGTTGACTGGAGCCCACGAGACAGCACAGGGACCCATCCTGAGGCGTTGATGACCGAACCCCCTTCCCCCGGTAGAATCCTAACACGGGCGGGCTGGGGCACGCGGATCCGATTTCGTCCGGTTCTCCGTTCGAATTTGACGAAAAAATTTTAAATGGCGTAGAAATTGGATCCGCCGTTGAACAAAAGCCAGACGTGTATTTAGAAAATTCGAAATCGGATCCGCGCGGACGGAAGTCGGATCCACCGAAACAAACCCGACACCACAATTGGATCAGCTCGACCTTCATGAGATCCGACGGCGGTGACCTCAAACGCGTCCGCTCAAGACTTCAAGCCGTCGCTCCGGGCCCAAGAGGAAAACAATCGTCCTGGGGATGTAGGTAGCTCCACCGAAGGCCCCACTGGCAAAGTTCGCATGCGCCCCCCCCCCCCCCCGTACAGCGTGACGCGGCCCATAGAGAGTTCCACTGAAGGCCTCAGTGGCAAAATTCGCATGCGTCCCCCCCCCACCCAGTACAGTGTGTCGTGGCCCATAGGGAGCTCCACCGAAGACGATATTCACAATTGCATATTGTTGGGTCCTTTGCCAGGCTATTTTTTCCCCATGTGCTCCCTGTTGGTCTGGGCGCAAGCTCGGCCCAAACGGGGATTTTCGTTTCTTGGTCAAGATTGTGGTTTTCACCGCAGCCGCGCGCGTGAGGCGCACTTCGAAGGCGCGCTGCGCCAAAGAGCCCTTCTTATGCTTATGCATATGGTAATATCTTTCGGTGCCGCCTCACCCTCAACACTTGTTATACAAACGAGTTTTCATACTGGTGTGAAAACAAAACACGAAGACATAAGCGCCTCCCTTCACGACGACATATAACCCCAAACTGCAAAGCGTGCTATTTCTGGGTCCGCTCGACCTTCCCCGATGACTGCTGGTCGGGCGCGGTATCCTTCCTGTCTTGGGCCTTTGCCATCATGGTGGCGGTGGTACTGCTTGCCTTAACATCTACTTCGGGCGTCCTGCACATCAGTTTATGCATGACTATGTGCACGGCTTGGATGAAATACCGCACCGAGTACAATGCCGACCAATTCGGGGTCAGCTTGCCTGAGATCGTGCCCGACGCGGCCTTCGTGACGACCGGCATGCCGCCAAGGAGCCGAATCCGTATCCGCAGGGGTGGCTCTTTTACAGGTTCTGGAGCATGAGCACCGTGCAACCATCCACCAGCCACGTGTTCCGCCAACGCCAGGCGCCGCACGGGGTGTCGGCCTCGCCCCGAAAAGCTTGGCCGTCACGGCGTCGATGCCGTCGCTCACCCGTGCAACGGCGTGACTGCTTTGACCGTGACGGGCCTCAAGGGACGCAAGCTACCCACCTGCACCAACCTGAGCGTAGGCGGGCAGTTGGTGTCCCCCGAAGCCTTCCCGAGACCCAGGACGTCAGGCCTCCGCGGATTACGACCAGGGGTGCGGCATGGGCAGCTTCGTTGCCAAGAGTAGCAGGCGCGCCTGGACCAGTAGCGCTGTGGGCGTGGCTCCTGAGCAACGTCTCAGGCTCGACGCTTACCAGGAGGTGGAAGAGGAGGGGTAGCTGTAGGAGGAGGCGGCGGAGGAAGAGGAGGCGGATGGGCCCGGATGGGGAGGGGCAGGAGGTGAAGGGGGAGGCGAAGGAGGAGGGGGAGGATGCTTCCCTGCTGTCCGTTAGGGCCGAGCAGGCGCGAGAGCGGCACGACAGCGGCCAGCGGCCTTCTGCTTCCTCTCCGCCTGCCTCCGCCTCTCCTCGGGCCTGTCCTTTGGCCAGGACCTCGAACTTCGGAGCTCTGCGACCGTTCGCTCTCGTTCGACCCTGTCCCTCCGAGACGATAGTCGTCGGCGCAAGCCCGCGAGCGGCATGCCGAGCAGGACGGATCGCCCGGCTGCCGCTCTGCGCTCGTCGCGGCAGACCGGCGGGCACCGAGGCAGCGTAGGGCTGACATCCGAGTTCAGGTGCTACGCTCGTGGTGCCCCCCACTTGCTCCTGCCGCTCCCTCCACCCCGCCGTCAGCTGCGTTCGATCCTTCTTCCCCTTCTCCACCTGCACCTGCACCTGCACCTCCTCCTCCTCCTCCTCCTCCTCCTCCTCCTCCTCCTCCTCCTCCTCTTCCCCCTCCTCCTCCCGACGGGTCTCCTCTTCCTCCTCCTGCTCCTCCTTCTCCTCCTTGTCCCCGTATGCTTCCTCCTCCCGGTGGGCGTCATCTGACCCCTTCTTCCCCTCGTCCTGTTCTCAGCGGGCGCAGGCGATGCAGCAGGCTTCGCCTGGTGGCGCGGCTGGGGGGGCTACGCAGCCTGGGCAGATGGGCATGATGCAGGCTGGCCGGCGGCCTCCTGAGGGGTCTTCGGGCACTCGATGGGAGGGGGGAGGGCTGGGGGGAGCTGGGAGCAGCACGGAGAAGGGAGGAGGAGGAGGAGGAGGAGGAGGAGAGGAGGAGGAGGAGGAGGAGGAGGAGGAGAGGAGGGAGGAGGGAGAGGAGGAGGAGAGGAGGAGAGAGGAGGAGGAGGAGGAGAAGAGAGGATGAGATGATGAGATGATGATGATGATGATGATGATGATGATGATGATGATGATGATGATGATGATGATGATGATGATGATGATGATGATGATGATGATGATGATGAGATGATGAGGAGGAGGAGAGGAGGAGGAGAGGAGAGGAGGAGAGGAGAGGAGAGGAGGAGGAGGAGGAGGAGGAGGAGGAGGAGGAGGAGGAGTTAGGAGGAGGAGGAGGAGTGAGGAGGAGGAGGAGTTAGGAGGAGAAGGAAGAGGAGGAGGAGGAGGAGGAGAAGGGGGAGGAGGAGGAGGAGGAGGAGGAGGAGGAGGAGGAGGAGGAGGAGGAGGAGCAGTGTAAGCCCAGGAGTCATCAACGATGTTGGAATCAACCCTCCCTTCAAGCTCCCTCTTCATAGTCCCCTACGACGGTTCATTTCCATTGAAGGAACTGCCTCTTTGGAAGACAGCCGATTGAAGAAGCTGAATCGTGCCAAAATATGGTTCTCGGGATTCCAATGCCACGGATCATCTTGACTGTGGCGTCTTGATAATTCTGAGTCGTACCAGAACGCCATTCCTGGGACGTCAACACAGGGAATCAACATGATTGTTGTGCCCGCATAATCCTGAATCCTTTCAAAACACAATTTCTGGCACGTTGCTGATGGGGATCCATGAAACTCTTTCAAATGTTTAAAACGAATATGCGCCGCGCTAAGGCGAGAGTCACACTTTGAAAAGGAACCGCTCTCAATCCGTGAAACTCCTGCAGATTTTAACAGCGAGTATGCGCCGCGCTAAGGCGATAACCATATTTTTAAAACGACCCGTCATTAATCCGTGAAGCTCTTGCCGATTTTGAAAAACAAATGTGCGCCGCGCTAAGGCGAGAGCTACATTTTGAAAACGACCCGCCCTAAATCCGTGAAACTCTTGCATTTTTACAAGGAATGTGCGCCGCGCTAAGGCGAGAGCCACATTTTGAAAACGGCCCGCCCTCCATCTGTGAAGCTGTTGCCAATTTCCATGCTTCAGAGTCATTATTGGTGAGGACGTCTCAGGCGAAGCGCCCAGTCCGCCCTAAGCATTGGCCTCGGGGTGCGACAGGGAGAAATTATGTACAAGAAAAAGGAATGGAGGAGGAGGAGGAGGAGGAGGAGGAGGAGGAGGAGGAGGAGGAGGAGGAGGAGGAGGAGGAGGAGGAGGAGGAGGAGGAGGAGTTAGGATGAGGAGAGTGAGGAGGAGGATGATGATGAGAGGAGGAGGAGGAGGAGGAGGAGAAGGAAGAGGAGGAGGAGGAGGAGGGGGAGGAGGAGGAATCATTCTAATAAGAAGAGCGCTAACACGAATACTAATACGAATCGTATTAAGAATGATAGCAAAATAATAATAATAATAATACTAATCGTATTAAGTATAACCAAAATAGGAAAACTAATAAGAATAATAATAAGAAGAGGATAATGATGATGATGATGATGATGATGAGGAGGAGGAGGAGGAGGAGGAGGAGAGCAGGAGCCACAAAACCGACGGACCGCGCGGAGAAGGTAGGGGGAAGTCGAAGAGGTTGGAAGAACCCCTGCTCGTACTCTGCTCCTCCCCGTCACTCTTCCTCCTCCTCCTCCTCCCTCTCTTCCTCCTCCTCCTCCTCCTCCTTGTCCTCCCCCTCCTCCTCCTCCCTCGCCCTCCTCCTCCTTCTTCTCCTTATTCGTTCCTTTCCGTTCCTCTCTCCGTCTCTTCCTCCCTTCCCACCTTCCCTACCCCTGTCCTTCTTTTTTCCCTCCCCTCCCCTCTCCTCCCCTTTCCTCCCTTCCGTTGCCTCTCTCTCGTCCACCCCTCCCTCCCTCCATTTTTGCGTCTCCTCCCAAACCCCCTTGGTCCTTTCCCCCCCGTCTCCCTCTCTCTCTCTCTCTCGCTTCATCCTTGCGTTCCCTCCGATCCCTCCGTTCCCTCCGTCTCACTTTCCCTCGCTCCCTCCCCTTCTTCTGCTGCTGCTCCTCTTCTTCCTCCTTCGCTCCCCTCAGAGCGCGTGGCCAGTTCCGTCCCGCGTCCCGAGGCCTACATGGTCCCGGCGGGTATGGTCCCCGCCTGGTGCGGGCTCTAAGCCAGCGGCGAGGCTTGGACCTCCACCGAGGGGGTCATGAGAGAGGAGGAGAAGGAGGAGTATGAGAAGGACCAAAGTAAACCCAAGACGCATCAACGATGTTGCAATAAACCCTCCCTCCAAATTCCCTTCTCACAGTTTCCTACACATAATTTCTTTTCATGGCGGGAATTGCCCCATGGGAAGACAACCGTCTGAGAATCATCAGTCGTGGTAGAGTGCAACTCCTGGGACTTCAACGCTGCGAGTCAACGTGACTCTTGCGTCCTGACGTTTCCAGACCGTGCCCAGGCACGATTCCTGGGACTTCAGCACCGCGAATCAACGTGACTGTTGCGTCATGGCGCTCCTACATCGTGCCGAAACACCAGTCCTGGGACAGCCTTGGAGCTGATGCAGTCCTTCAAGACGACTGTGCGCGGCGCCAAGGCGTTACACACATCTCGAAGAGGAGCCACCATCCATCCTTGAAGCGGTTGCACACTTCTTAGAGGGGCGTACGTGGCGCCGGGGCGGGAGCCACAGTTTGAAAGCCACCCGCCTCTCATCCGTGAAAGTGTTGCAGACGTTTCAGTCGGGGGTGGACAGAACCCCCAACAGTGACACGTCGATTAGTGAATTGTCCTTTTTCGGTTCTCGAGAGGGCGCCGCGGCCTTATTTTCCAGGCTCGCGCCCGCCAGGTTTGGGCCTCAGGTCGTTTTCACTAAACGACGTTTTAATAAAGGGAGGTCTGTCCATCCCCGATTCAGACGAATGTGCGCGGCGCTAAGGCGATGGCCTCATTTTGAAAACGGTCCGCCCTCCATCCGCACAACCGTTCCAAGTTTTTGGGTCCAGTGTGCGCGGCGCTATGTCGAGAGCCGCATCCTGACAGACACCCGCTCTCCACCCACTGAACGTGTGTTGTGTGAGTGTTTTTTGGATGAATGTGCGCGGCGCTCAGGCGAGAGCCACATTTTGAACATGACCCGCCCTCCATCCTTGAACATGCTGCAAATTTCAAATTTCACGATCATTAATGGTGAGGGAATGTCAGGTGAAACACCAAGCCCGCCCTAACGACACGTCCGGCGGTGCGTCCGTGTTTTTGTTGTTGGTTGTGTTTAGTGTGTGTGTGTGTGTGCCGTGTTGCTGTTGCTGTTGCTTTTGCTGCTGCTGTTGTTGTTGTTGTTGTTGTTGTTGTTGTTGTTGTTGTTGTTGTTATGGTTGTTGTTGTTGTTTTTGTTAGTGTAGTAGTTACTATTATTGTTGTTGTGATCGTTGTTGCTGTTGTTGCTGCTGCTGTTGTTGCTGTTGTTGTTGTTGTTGTTGTTGTTGTTGTTGTTGTTGTTGTTGTCGTCGTTGTTGTTGTTGTTGATGTGGTTGTTGTCGTTGGTGTGGTGGTTGTTGTTGTGGTTGTTGTTTTGGTGGCTGTTGTTATGTTTGTTGTTGTGGTTGTCGTTGTTGTTGTTGTTGTTGTTGTTGTTGTTGTTGTTATTGTTGTTGTTGTGGTTGTGTTAATTGTTGCTCGGTTGTTGTTCGGTTGTTTGTTGTTGTTGTTGTTGCTGGTGTTGCTAGTGCTGCTGTTTTTGCTGTTATTGTTATTGTTTCGTGTGCGTGTGTTGCTCCTGAATCTGTGTTGTTTTATACAAGAGGAGGATCAGAAGGAGGAAAAGGAGAAACAGGAGGATGTGTGTTCGATTATGTGTCGGTATGGGCAGCCCACCGGACTAAGAACCACCCGTTTGTCGATATAGCCCGCGCAGTTGCTGCTGGCGGTATATGCCACGGCTGCAACAGACAGAGGCCGCTCAAGCATGTGAGACACGGTTCCAGCAGGTGCCTCTCAGCATTGTTTGCAGCTCTGCCACCCATGGCAGAGGAGCATATTCAGGCGCAGCATGGGAGGCGGCTTGGGACGGGCTGTGTTTTGCTTGTGGCTGCTCCAAGTCTTCCTCGGACGTTGTTTGAGGCAAGCTGCGGGAAGCGTTGCATCTCAGGATGCTTCTGTTGGGCTTCTCGGGTTTACGAGATCCTCGACTTGGGCATGCTTCGCAACCGCTGCAGGCGAGTCGGCTTTCCGCTCCAGGTGCCCAGGCCGTGCAGCTTCGGGTGCAAACGCGCGCCTGTCTTGCCATGAAGAGCGGCAGTCTCAGTGGACCTCGGATGGCAAACAACGCGTCACTGCTGAATTTACCAGCCTGGAACATATCCCTATCCCTATGCTGGGCACCTCCTCATCACGATGCCAATCTTAGGGATTCCCTTAGTTTTTGAGGGCGAATCCCTAAGATTGTCATCGCCTTCTGGCGTGTCAATCTTACTTAGGGATAGGGATACGTTCGAGGCTGGTAATGGTTGCCCCGTCGCAGCCGCCCTCTGTCGGGATTTGCTCGGCACTGGCCCGGATCGGCGCAGCACCCCGATGTCCGTGGCACTCGATGCCCACAGCCGCGGCTGCTCTCTCACCTGCGCCCGTCACGCGACGCGTGCTGTTCCCGATCTCCTCCTCTCGGCCTCGCTCTGAGGCTCCGCCGCTTCCTCCCTCCTCCTCTCTGCCTAATTCAAGCTTCGCGCGGCCCGCTTAGCTTCGACCGGAAGAGGTGCGCTCTCGACCCGCGGATCAAAAAAGGTTGTTCTCTCACTTGCGCCCGTCACGCGACGCGTGTCGTTCCCGATCTCGTGGCGGCCTCGAAGGCACCGCACCGGGCGTTCGCCTTGGTTGCAGGTGTCTGCTCTGGATCGACGGTTTGCCACGTCGCCGCATGGTGGCCAGCTCGGGCACTCATGCCACGCAGCGCAGGTCAGGGATGGCCGGGGGAAGGGGAGCTTGCCACAAGCTTCGCGTTGCTGGTTTCAGTCGTCGTGCCCGTTGCGTTATCGAGCTCAGCTTGTCTTGGGCAAACGCTGCACACAGTTTTTCACCGCAGTGCCCCTTTCTGGTCTGTTGTGTGGGGCTGAAGTTCATGTGGGTAGGGATGCACATATTCCGCACAATGGCCGCATCGCCGGTCGTGCCATCAAGCCCTCTGCCGGCAGCCGTTCGCTCACCACTCTCATGACTGCTGAAAACGATCCTGGCTGGCTCTCATCAGTTGCCCCCATCTTGAGGTGGGGAAGAAGCAGTGCGGATTGCTGCTGCGCGTGCCACGTCTTTCGCGCTTTCGCTCCAGGCACTGCGCAGCGCGGGGCAGATTACCTCTCGCAGGGCAGCCTTTTCGTGGCACAGAGCTGAAGTCCCAGTTGGGACCATGATGCTCTCTTTGGCAAGGATTGGCTGGGTCATGAAGGATCCCTTCGCCATCGCCAATGGCCTGCATCACACAATCTCACGCCTTTTTTCACTTCCCCAGGGTTATTGAAGAAATTCCTCAAGGAAGGTTCTCTGAGATCCCTTGAACGCTCCGCTAGGGGCTCCCTTGGATCTAATAGTGGGCTCTCTTTCGATGTTCCGGTCTCGTATCCCAAACTCACGGGGTTCCACAAGGCTTGCGTCAAGCCTGTGCTCCGTTGGGCATCCAAGGCTCGGGACAGAGCCCTTGCTTTAGAGTGCCAGTGTTGCCCCAGTTGTGACCTTCGCCGGGAACCCGACCCCCTTCTCCGTAGGATCTGGCATTGTACAGCTTGTGTTTCCGGGGGGGGGTCCCTGGTCTAGCAGTAGATTCTCGAGGCCTCGGGAGGCCGCCGTGGCAGACATCTTCTTTTTCACGCGTCGCTTTTTCGCTACCCAGGTGATCTTTACCCCCCCATCTGACGGCGGCGTGCTCGTCGATTGGCGCGGCATTCCCAGTCAGACTGGAGAAGGGTTCGAGGGGCATGTGCTCATGGACGGCTCGTGCTCTAAGCTTCCTGTGTGCGACTGCAGTCTGAGGGCCCGGCGGCCCTCGGCTCTGACCGCTCTCTTCTTCACAGCGTCGCGGCGCTCTTGTGGAAACCCACCCCCCAGACTAGTCGAGGAGAAGGGTGCTCCGGCCTGGGTGGGGGGGCTCTCTTAGCTGGATGCCCGCGTCACTTTTGTGGCCCGCACAGGCGCAGATTGGGTGCGGGGGCACGATCGGGGAGGGAGGCCCGCGTCCGCGAGCGCGCGCGGCTGTTCACGCGCGCGCTCTCCGTCGCCTCAGGCGAGCCCAGGGTGCGATCCGCGAGAGCGGGCGCGCAGGCTCGACGCCGAGCGCCAGGCGCGATCCGCGGCCCCAGGCGCGCCGTAGCGCCGGGAGCCGCGTGCGCCTTGCGCCGCTTCGCCGCGTTGTAGGTGTTGAAATTTTCGGCGAAGGGGCGCGACCGCGACAGCGCGCCGCGCTGGCAGGTCGGGCGGCGGGCGTCTGCTTTTCCTGCCTCGGACATTGACCGGCTGCCGCAAGCCGTCAAAGACGCTGTGGCGTGGACTGCGGCCACGTCCACGAAGGAGGCGCGCGCGCGTCTGGCCGCAGCGGCAGGCACGCGCGCGCGTGTACACTGGGTCGTAGGCCCGCCGTTTCCGGGAGAAGGCCACCAGCCGGATCGAGGCTCGGGCCGCCGCCCTCATCGTGTCCAGCGAAACCCGCGAGTGGCTCGGCGCGGCCGACCCGGCAACCAAGGCCGTCTCGCGGGGCGTTAACGGGCCCTTGCTCGCAGAGCTCGCCGCTCGCGCGGGCCACTGCAATCTGGATGCGGTAGAGTTCTTTCGCTCCGGCGCCCCGCTGGTGGGCCATCTACCACGCTCGGGCCTTGGGGAGGCGATTGGCGGGGCGTCGTGCGTGCCTGTGGAAGCTTCACGCGACGCCGCTACCCGCCATAATTCGTCGGTTCTGAAGAAACGGCTGCGGCCTGACCCGCATGCCGAAGTCTTGCAAGAAGCCGCCTGCGCGGGCGCCGCATTAGGAATAATGACCGAACCTGTCGATCTCACTCGGATTGACACCGCCGGCGCTGTACTTGTGCCGCGCTTCAGTGTCGAACATGGGATCCGCGCGGACGGCGCTCCTAAGATGCGACCCATCGACGATTGCTCCATCGCGGGGCTGAACGGCGCCACTGCGCCCGGAGAGAAACA